TCCCCCCCAGCGTTTTTTTTTTTTTTTTAAAGTTGCCAGCCACCGCCAGCATTTTTGATCATTTTCATGGCCCCCAGAATATTTAGTTGTATGAATATCTGAACATGCAATATGTAAAAAAAAAAAAGAACGGAGCCTCAGCTTTTAAACAACAAATCTGTTTTATTCTAGTTTCATGCAATCTTCTGTTATCAACACTTGAATGTGGGTAAGTTTCATAAAAAAAAGCAACATTTTGATCAAAAAGCTGAGAAAGTGACGTTTTCGTCAAAGACTACGTCCAGATGGGATTTAGTACGATGATCAAAAGCTGGAGTAGATCACTTCCATCAACACCCCCAAAGCTTCACAGTCCTAAAACACTTCCTGCTTCGACATTTCATCCGCTAACATTAGGCAGTTTTGATTTATATGTTGTTTAATGCGTGATGATTGTGTTATTTTACATATGCATCTCCTTGCATACACAATCACTTGTTTCTGCGTCTTCTTCTTCGCCATATTTGATCCAGAGATTCAGTACTATTTCAGAAGATGTGTAATAGGGCCTCATTCTTGATATTATTCTCCATATTATATCCATAATGGAAAAAAACACAGAAATCCAGAAAATTCTGTCAATGGCAGGGAAAGAGTTAAGTACAAAAAAAAAACCCATGATGATTTTACAATTTAAATAATATAAGAAAAAGTAATTATGTATTATAGTGATGAGAATGAAATTGTTTCACATTGCAGTAATGAGAATGTCAGGGGGAAATATGTTGAATTGCAATAAAACATCCTAACAAAGACTTAATAGTCTATGCAAAAATAAAAAATGGGTCTGGACAGATTCACACTGCTGACACACGCCGATGGACACAAACAGCTGTCCTTGACACTTTCTAACAAGCTGATTCATTGTTAAAATCATCCTTCTCAGTTGTGCTGTTGACATAATGACCTGTTAGTCAACAAGCTTTATTTTCACCCAAACATGTTGCTGGAAACTGTTGCGATGACTTGCGGAAAGGAAGGTCCGTGCCATCGCTCACTGTGTCATGACAGAGATGCTTTAAACAAGATCTCTGAAGATACACTTTAATTCCTTCTGAGATTGCATTTCTCCAGTTCAGCTGTTAACAAATAGCTTACTTTTGAAATGTTTCTGCTTACTTTTCAGAAAGGATTTGCATAATGAGCTTTATATTACACAAGAAATCTATACAAAATCATACCTCGGCTAGAAATACTTGTTAGGAATTTTGTGCAAAACAGATCAGCGCACGCAGAATAGATGATCCTGATATGAGCTACAGTAGTCTTCCCAGATACACTATGTAGTAAGCTATTCAAAGCCGCAGCTGTGTTCGAAATGGAACACTAGCTTGCTGCATACTGCTCAATATATGCTTTATACCATCTACGTAATCTGATGTCACATGACTTTTCCATGTTGCGTGTTTAATTCGTTGAGTGGTGTCCAGTTTTCATCTCAGAAATAAAAACAGCTGTTCTCACATGCAGTACTGGGGTGTTGTATAAATTTGTAGTGTGCAAACTATATGCCCTACACAGGGGCGCCATGAAGAGTTTTAAGGGGGGTATGCCAGACAGAAATTTGGGCCCCCTTCTTCCAGATGAATGTGTTTTTTCTTTTGACGCTTAATCAGAAATTTAATATATATACATGCAGGGCTCAACGCTAAGGATTTTTTCTACTGGCCCGGTCAGGCTAGTAGTTCAAATTTGTTCTTGCCCTGCCAATATATTCACAGGCACTACCACAAGTTCTTGTTATCATTGTTTTTGACCCATGTTATCTTGTATTCTAGTAAATAAGCTTATATGACACCAACATCAGTGGCGCCATGAAGAGTTTTAAGGGAGGTATGCAAGACCCTTTGCAAGGTATGCAAGAAAATTTGGGCCCCCTTCTTCCAGATGAATGTGTTTTTTCTTTTGACGCTTAATCAGAAATTTAATATATATACATGCAGGGCTCAACGCTAAGGATTTTTTCTACTGGCCCGGTCAGGCTAGTAGTTCAAATTTGTTCTTGCCCTGCCAATATATTCACAGGCACTACCACAAGTTCTTGTTATCATTGTTTTTGACCCATGTTATCTTGTATTCTAGTAAATAAGCTTATATGACACCAACATTTTAGATTCCAGTTACATTTTACAATTCTCAATTCAAATTTTAATTCCTACACTAAGCCTAACAAAGCAACTAAGCCTAAACCTAACTTATGAACAGTCAGTAAATAAGAACAAGTGAAGAAATTACAAGCAATAGCACAAATAAATAAATAGAACAAAAATACAAAATAAAGATGCTTTGGGTTTTTAGATTTGTAGTCGTTCAAGTACAGAAACTGAATAATCAAATATAAAATAACATTGCATATTCTTCACTGTATAAATTAAACATAGATTAATCATTGTAAAGTTATTTAGTTAAGAGCAGTAAGTGATTTTCTCGATTTTAATTAATCAATTATTTAATTAATTTTTTTTTTTTTTTATTAACATTAAGGACACTGACAGCAGCTGGTAAATTAGGCGTGGTCTTTAAACACAATTCATGGGTCTAACATCTTGATACACATCTGATTTCTTTTACAACTAAGTGCACTTAATACATAACCGACTGTTTTCGAGGATATTGGCAAGACGGGTATGTTGAGATACTTTTGTATCATGTATTTGTCCGTTCAAGCGCAACAAGACTCGGAAAGAAACTCCATTCGGGGCTTGTGCGGTGTCAGAGTCGCGGCTGTTTGTGTGCGCGCTGTGCACACTGAATTGAGTTGTTATTTGCCTCTTCTTGCGCTTGAAACTGAATTGGCAGGGTGTATTTGTCTGTTAAAGCGCAAGACGACGCACTTTAAAAAAAATCCAAAGTGGTGATTTGGGGCCCCCTAGCTTCCTGGGCCCATATGCCTTGCATACTCGGCACCCCCCATAATGGCTCCCCTGGCCCTGCATACAGCATAGTAAGAGTAATATGGTAGTATGCTATTCTGAACACAGCCACTGTCACATATCCCATCTGCCTTTGTGTCGTGCTCTGATGATGTCACGATCACCTGATGATATTCTCTCTCAGGGTTGGTCGGCCCTGTAAAGTCCGGAAAGTCGAGGAGCTGCCGCAGGAAGAGGAACTGGAGAGTGAGGTGTCGTCAGTCACCGAAACCAAAGGTAGATCTACACCACCCTCACTGTATGTTCATATTGCATTTGCATGTCATTTGGTGGACGTCAGTATTGAGCCTCGAAATGAAAACACGAATTACAATCCTGTTTGACCGAATTAGAATCAGAATGAGATTTATTGCCAAGAATGTTTGCACACACAATAAATTAATCCTTGTGACAGAAGAAGCTTCAGCGACTGCAGTAAACAACATCACACTGATAGTAAAAGACAAGTGAATAAAGAGACAATTTCCCAGAGAGGGGGAAAAAAATTAAAAAAAGATAAATGTGCAGTGTCATTTAAAGTGGTTTTAATAAATGTGGTGATAGTTACTCTAATGACAAATGTAATAAAAGTATTATAATAAAAGTAAGAGAAATAATGGTTTAAGTTTAAAACATGAAAAACTACTTGCCAATTAGTAAAAACTAAATTCAACATGTAACCAAAATACACAATCTTGCTTCTGTTTTAAAGACATTTACTGTGTAATAATATCAAGAAGGGGGCAAACAGGTTTCATATACGAGCATACATTAAGTTTAAGTACTGCATTGAAAAAGTGGTAAACTCGAAATTATAAGATCTAAATTAACTGGTTTCATTCAAGTCAGAAATATTATTTCACATCACTGAATCTACCTAAATACATCTATACAAACAAAACTAATTTTTACGAATTCACGGTAACCACTGCTGGTTACCACTTTGTACAGTGTGTGAAGAACGCCCTCAGAATCAGTGTCTGAAGCATGTGAAACTCAATGTTGTGATTCACAGATGAGCTGAAATCATTTCAGTTTATCACAGCTGCTCTATTTCTTTCTGTGATGACTCACTCCTTCTCTATTTCTGCCTTCCTGTTTCTTGCTGGGGTTGAGTCTCTTTCCAGAAGAATTGGTCTGTCCTTCTTCCTCTGTGGCTGGTTATCTAAAGGTTTAGTGGCAGTCACTAATGAGGAAGAGGGTTGGATTCAAACCGTAAGTTCTTTGTTCCTCAGCTTTAAAAGCTTTTTAACTTGCTCCGGTCACGCGTCAAAGGCAGTCTGAGAATAAAAGATGTGAGAAACTCAGCTTCTGTACTTGGATGCATTGTGGGCGTCGCGAGTGGTAATCTACTGGGGCTCGAGCCATGGATAATTGTAATTTAAGAAAAAAATGATGAGGACGTTGAAGATCTCAATGGAAAAGAAGTTTATTGCAGCATAGCAGTGACAAAGTAGAAAGCAGACAAGTGGAATCACATTTTATCTAGCAGTTTTTTTTTTGCATTTATTCATTTATCAGGTGCTTTTATTTCCAGTGACTTGCAAATAAGGAATACAACATAAGCGTTTCATCCTGAGGAGGCAGTAATAGAGTAGTGCTGCAATACAAAGGTTTTTTTTTTATATTCATAAAGAGAAGAGAGGTGAAATGTGCATTGGGCTCATTAAAGACCAAAAGCACTGCTGCATTGTGGATCATCTGCCGAGGTTCGGTTGAAGATTATTGTACTAGTGCAGTCTAGAGATGACAAGAGCCTGGATGAGGAGTTGTGTAAAAAGACCTGATCTTCTTGATGTTAATTAATGCAAGTCAGCATGACTGGGCTGCATGGCTTATGGCTGCGACTGGTTGATGTGACTTTGACACAGTTCATGACAACATACCCTGAAAGATCTACCTGTGAAGCAGGACTCAAAGCAGCAGAGTGCGGTTGCTGTGATGTCCAGTGATAGGAGGATCAGACGGTTTGGAGGCAGCTCCTGCAAGCCTCGGGGATTGTGTGTAGGTTTAGAGTGGGTTTAAAGCAGTGGAGTTACCCGAGCATGATTGAGTGTTTTGGGGGAAAATGCCAACGAGGACAGATGTGTCGATGATGTGTGTGAGTGTTGGCCAAAATTATTTGGACTGAACTGGCCAGGAGCAGGAGACTGTGTACACGTGTGAGAATATTGTTATGTGTGCACACGGGTGTATGCATGAATATCCATATGGTTAATCCAGCCCTGCCCTGGAGTTAAGTAAGACTGTTGGAGTTTCTGAGTAAATGTGTCATTCCCACTATGCAGTATATATATATATATATATATATATATATATACAGTGGGGCAAAAAAGTATTTAGTCAGCCACCAATTGTGCAAGTTCTCCCACTTAAAAAGATGAGAGAGGCCTGTAATTTTCATCATAGGTATACC